ATCCCCCTCTGCTTCACACCCATAAAGAGTGTTTAAAAAACTATACTCTCATCATTCCCTTTTTGCTTCCAAGGGACAAAGTTCTTTGTTCCACAGACCCCTAATGACCGCTCCCCCCTTTCCCCCTCATAAATTTTTAAATTTTCACCTCACTTTCTAGACCCATCCGCTGACACGTCCACCCCCAAATACTGAATACTTCACCCCCCTATCTCTCCTCCAATTAAACCCCCAATTTTTTCATCACCTAATCTTTTTTTCCCAAAACCCCTTCCTTTCCTGTATTCACTTTAATTTTCTTCTTTGGATACCCTACCCAAATTCACCCACCAACCTCTGCAATTTTTTCAAATCTCCCAAGGCACTGTCATCAGCAAAAGAACTGTGACAACCCCACTTTATGTGCGTTCTTTATCTTTTAACCCACCCTTTGCCAAGACCTGCATTTACTTCTTTACAACCCCCTAAAATATTTTAAACAACCATGGTGACATCACACATCCTTGTCTAAGGCCTACTTTTTACTGGAAAAAAATTTCCCCTTTCCACATACTCTAACTTGAGCCTCACTTTCGTAAAAACTTCACTGCTTTCAGAAACCCTACTCCTACACCATACCCCTGCAAAAACGCCCAATTGCCCCCCTATCCACCCTGTCAATGCTTTTTTCCAAAATCCTAAACCAAAAAACCCCTTTTACCCTTATCAAATATTTTCCTTATATGTTTCACTGTAAAAAACCTGGCCACAACCCCCTCCCTTTTCCCCTAAAGCCCCCTTTTTGTTCTCTCTATCCTTCTCGCCTTACTGTAATTCTTTCAATAATAACTCTAACATACACTTTCCAGTAAACCAACAACTTTCCCCCTATAAATTTTGCACTCTCTTTTGCCCCTTTGCCTTTATACGAAGGAATATGCAGCTCTCCCCAATCCCTGGGGTACTTTCCCCCTTCCATACATTATTAAATAATTTCACCCAAACCCCTCCAAAACTATTCCCCACCTGCTTTTTTAAATTTTATCTTTATCCCATCAAACCCCGGGTGCCTTTCCCCCTTTCATTTTTTCCTACTCCTCAGAACTTTCCCCCCCAAAACACAAAATGGTCTTCCTCACTCCTACAAGATTTATTTCTCCTTGCCCTATAACAAAAACACATTTCCCTATCTTCACACATTTAAAAATTCCTCAAAATATTTCCCTTTCCCTCTTCCCAATACCCTAACTTCCCTTTTAAAAACCTCCTCTCCTATTTTAACTGACAAATCCTTTTTTTCTCTAGGCTTCCTTTACTTGTTAATCTCACTCCCAAAACTTTTTCTTAATTTTCAACAAAATTTGTTGATAACATCTCACCCACTCTCTCATTTGCTCTCTTTTTACATTGCTTTACCACTCTCTTAATGTCTCTTTTTCTCCATATACTCTTCCCTCCTTGCATCACTTCTACTTTGTAAAAACTTCTCATATGCTAACTTTTTCTCCCTTACTATCTTTACATCATCATTCCACCAATCGCTCCTCTTCCCTCCCGCACCCACTTTCCTGTAACCACAAACTTCTGCTGAACACTCTAACACTACATTTTTAAACCTACCCCATACCTCTTCGACCCCATTGCCTATGCTTTCATTAGCCCATCTATCCTCCAATAGCTGTTTATATCTTACCCTAACTGCCTCCTCTTTTAGTTTATAAACCTTCACCTCTCTCTTCCCTGATGCGTCTATTCTCCTTGTATCCCAACTACCTTTTACTCTCAGTGTAGTTACAACTAAGAAGTGATCTGATATATCTGTGGTCCCTCTATAAACATGTACATCCTGAAGTCTACTCAACAGTCTTTTATCTACCAATACATAATCCAACAACTACTGTCATTTTGCCCTACATCATATCTTGTATACTTATTTATCCTCTTTTTCTTGAAATATGTATCACCTATAACTAAACCCCTTTCTATACAAAGTTCAATCAAAGGGTTCCCATTATCATTTACACCTGGCACCCCAAACTTACCTACCACACCCTCTCTAAAAGTTTCTCCCACTTTAGCATTCAGGTCCCCTACCACAATTACTCTCTCACTTGGTTCAATGGTTCCTATACATTCACTTAACATCTCCCAAAATCTCTCTCTCTCCTCTACATTCCTCTCTTCTCCAGGTGCATAAACGCTTATTATGACCCACTTTTCGCATCCAACCTTTACTTTAATCCACGTAATCCTTGAATTTACGCATTCGTATTCTCTTTTCTCCTTCCATAACTGATCCTTCAACATTACTGCTACCCCTTCCTTTGCTCTAGCTCTCTCAGATACTCCAGATTTAATCCCATTTATTTCCCCCCACTGAAACTCCCCTACCCCCTTCAGCTTTGTTTCGCTTAGGGCCAGGACATCCAACTTCTTTTCATTCGTAACATCAGCAATCATCTGTTTCTTATGTTATCTCATCTTATCATGTCACTGTCAAGGGTGGACTGAGGCTTGTTTTACATGCTTCAAGGGAACTTATTACTTACCATATTTACATATTATTTTATTATTATTATTACTTTTATTATTAATTCTTTTTTTTTTAAATTTTCTTTTGATTTTATTCTTACCACATATCCAGAACACTTGTGGACTATATATCTGTGGTATATATTCTGACAATTTAGTAAAAATGGCTTATACAGTAATAATCCACAAACCTGTCATTTTGTACAATCTTTATACTATTTCACTACCTTAAACTAGTGTTCCAGAACAAACCACTTTTATAAAAGAAACAAGGGGTACTACTATAAAATTATACATTCTCAAACTAAAAATTTATAAAAAATATAAAATAAAAAGGTCTACCACATTCTCTGCAACTTGGAAAAGGACTCGATGTGCTGTCACTTAGCATCTCCCAAAACTTTCTCGCCTCATTATTTTTAGTGAGTATTGACCCACTTTTTCGATTCATACCTTTAAACCACTTCTTGAAAAGCTGCTATCTTTTTCTCCATAAAAAAAATCTACCTTCTTTTTTTTAATTTTTCCAATTATTTCCGCGCACCGAAGTAACTACTACTATACGCTTGGAGGCCAGTATAACTTTTTTCTTTGAACATCACATCATGATTCTTATGTTTCCACACATGCTCACTGTATGGCTCTTGTTAACAGGGCTCGGCTATTACAATTACATATATTCATTTTTATTTTTTAATATGTATTACCAAGTTTATTAACCCATTTTTATTCTAACTTTTCATTTATCTACAATATCCGAAATTGCGGGGACTAAAATAAACTTGTATATATTTAAGCATTTGGCCAAGCAGGTGTAAATGTATTCAGTGTGGTTTGTAATGGAAAATTTTCGTACCATAATATCCGGTAGAAAAAAGTTTTAAAACAAACAAAAATTTTACCTGTATCCCGAACATAAAAAACCTATAAAATTCATGAGAAACGTATATGGGCCAGGTTTGCAAGCCAGCCGAGTTGCTCCGACATCTAGGAACATTTGGTCTCATATTAGTGAGTAGTGTTTTTTGTTTTTCTGCAATAACACATTGAAAAAGTCTTCTAGTTCCAATAAAAAGTAGATATTTATGAAATTAAAAATTTTAAGGGTTTGGGCACCTGGAAGGAACGTATATATACAGTTGTGGAATCCATTTACTTAAAAGAGTGAAATGATTACATAGTAACGGTTTTGCACTGCAAGCTTTATGGATAAAATCGCGCTCAACACAAGCTACTGAAAGGGGCCAGTGTATTTTTACAATGACACATGTGTTAGACCCATTTTATGCTGAAACCCGGCAATGAATTGGGAGGTACAAGCTCTATACAGATTTGGTACTGCGGACAGAGTACCAGTGGACCTCAAGGCTGGTCCGAAAATGGATTAAAAGAAGAATTGGAAGTACCCAGAAAAACTTGTACGCTATCTCAAGTCCTAATGGCCAGGGGAATTGCTCCTTCTAAAACATTTACAACTATTATCACTTTTGGCTTTTCCCAAAATACTCCCATCCCAAAATCTTCTACCAATCCTCGTGTAAAGGGTAGAGTCATTATATTGGTTAAAGAAAGTAGTAACAAAGCTGTGCATTGTCTTCCATTTGTGTGCTATTAAAATTAAGAAAATTGTCAAATGGTGAAAAATTTTTAATCATAAAGTTTGCGGTGCTGTTGCACAATGAATTTTGGATTTCCATTATCGTATAATGGAAAGGGAAACAGATTCCTATGAGAATTTTGTTTACGACAGAGCCTCTAAAGGTAATGGCATTAATATGGGGAAAACCCGGGGACTGTGATACTAAGTTAATGGAAGGCATTCCTTGTAATTAAAATCTAACCACTCATCTCATATAATCATACAGTGTTCATTGGAACGTCATATTTATTGTAAGGGAGTAACAGAATTCTTCTTCAGTAGTGCGTGATGTAAACATAAAATGCTACAAGGGCTAAAATTTTCTACTGTTGGTTTTCACAGTAAATTTCAAAAGAGAGAATTTTCTTTTTCATTTTTGGTTACGCCTGCCTCGGATGGAATATCGGACGGGTATTATTAAAGGAGTAAAGTACTGATATTATATGAAATTACAATACAATAAAAAGTCAGAATGCTTTATAATATAGTTTTATAATCATGTTGGTAAAATTACTAGCTCAATTCAATACAATAGTAATCAGAAGCATTCACTATCGTACATCATTTATTCTAAAATTACTTGTACTCATTCTTCACTTGTGTACATCATTTACTCAAAATATAATGCCAGTTCTCTCTAACTGGTATTCACAAGACTATAATGCGGAGATTTTCTTGATTAACTTTACAGAAAAATAACATGACCAGAGGTTCCAGTTACTTGATATACAGTATTGTGGTTTTTTTATGTAGAAATCAAAGAATGGATGTATTTACTGTACATGTATTTAGGTTTCAGGTTAATAGTAGTTCAGATGTATCTAATTGTATATTGCTATTCTCTCAACAGTGCATCCACCGTGACCTTGCTGCACGCAATGTTCTAGTCAGTGAAGATCGAATCATGAAAATTGCAGATTTTGGTCTGGCACGAGACATTCACAGTCAAGATTATTACCGAAAGACAAGTGAAGGGCGACTACCTCTGAAATGGATGGCACCAGAGGCACTATTCCACGGAGTATATACTTCACAGTCAGATGTGTGAGTTTTGGAATTTACCTATCATATTCAAATACTACTCCTCAACCCCCCCCCCCCCCACACACATACATGATGAATTCAGAATGGGAGGCCTGCGGTCATGATTAATGAACAGAGGAACTGTTTTAGTGCCTGAAATATCTACATTTTTTATTTTGGACTCTGTTTTTAAATTGGAATTGTTGTAATTTTGTGTAAAATTGGCCAGATTGCCAATGGGTAGTTTCTTGTGCTCATCATAGGCATAATAATGAAATGGCTAAGAATTTGGTTGAATTGAGCTTTGGAAATGGCTTGAAATAGGAATCACTGATGAATAAATTATGCTCAGATCGCTAAATTGCGCCTGCATGATTCTGTTAGTTTACACTAAAATTTCATGCTTTTGGTGTCATGTTGGGAAGATATCTTAAATGACATGGATCCAAACCAGTGCCTTGAAAGGATCAACTTCCTGGCAGCTGAAGCATGTTCTAGGCATATTCCCCTAAGAAAGAAGAAGAGCAGGAGTAAGCTGGAGAGAGAAAGACGCTCTCTCTTCAGAAGACGACGAAGAGTCACTGAGCTCCTCAGGAGTGCTAGAATATCTGATACACGAAAGGAGGTGCTGACCAGGGAAGTGGAAACTATCGAACTTAATTAAATGACTCTTACAGGAACCAGGAGAGACAGGAGGAGCTTAAAGCTATTAGTGAAATTGAAAGAAATTCAAAATATTTCTTTTCATATGCCAAAAACAAGGCAAATACCACATCTAGTATCGGGCCCTTACTCAGACAGGATGGGACTTGCACAGATGACAACAAGGAAATGAGTGAAATGCTGAAATCCCAGTACGACTCTGTGTTTAGTGAGCCACTAATCAGTCTGAGGATCGATGACCCAAATGATTTCTTCATGAATGAGCCTCATAACTCCGTAAATGTATGCCAGATTTCCAACATTACCCTAACTCGATAGACTTCGAAAAAGCCATTGACAACATGCCCGTGCACTCTGCCCCGGGCCCAGACTCGTGGAACTCTGTATTCATTAAGAACTGCAAGACACCCCTCTCGCGTGCCCTGAGTACACTATGGAGGAGGAGCTTGGACATGGGTGAAATTCCACAGTCACTTAAAACAATGGATATAGCCCCACTCCATAAAGGTGGCAGCAAAGCATTAGCTAAGAACTATAGACCAATAGCTCTGACGTCCCACATCATAAAAATCTTTGAAAGAGTGCTAAGAAGCAGGATTGCAAATCACCTGGATTCCCAAAATCTGCACAATCCAGGGCAACATGGGTTCAGGGCAGGTCGCTCCTGCCTCTCACAGCTACTGGATCACTATGATATGGCCTTGGATGCACTGGAAGAAAATCAGAATGCAGATGTAATATACACCGACTTTGCAAAAGCGTTTGACAAATGCAATCACGGCGTAATAGCGCACAAAATACATGCTAAAGGAATAACTGGGAAAGTGGGGAGATGGATCTTCAACTTCCTAACAAATCGAACACAAAGAGTAGCGGTTGACAGAGTTAAATGAGAGGCTGCCATAGTGAAGAGCTCTGTTCCACAAGGCACAGTACTTGCCCCCACCTTATTCCTCATCCTCATATCAGGCATAGAGATATACACCACAGCACCATATCATCCTTTGCGGATGATACTAGGATCTGCATGAAGCTGTCACCTGCTGTGGACGCGGTCAACCTCCAAGAAGATATAAACAAAGTTTTCCAGTGGGCAACGGAAAACAATGTGATGTTCAATGAGGACAAATTCCAACTACTCCGTTATGGAAAACTGAAGGAGATAATAACTAGAACAGAGTATACTACAAACTCTGGCCATACAATAGAGTGGAAAAATAATATAAGGGACCTGGGAGTAGTAATGTCTGAGGATCTCACTTTCAAGGATCACAACATTGCCACAATCACAAGTGCAAAGAAAATGATAGGATGGATAATGAGAATGTTCAAAACGAGAGATGCCAAGCCAATGATGATCCTTTTCAAATCACTTGTTCTCTCTAGGCTGGAATACTGCTGTACATTATCATCTGCAATTTCACCTGCTTTGAATGGAGATCTAGAGAGTGTAAAGATATCCTTTACTGCACATATAAGTTCTGTCAAGCACCTTAACTACTGGAAATGCTAGGAAGCACTTTACTTGTACTCGTTGGAACGCAGGGGAGAGAGATGTATCATAATCTACACTTGGAAAATCCTGGAAGGAATGGTCCCAAATCTGCACACAGAAATCACTCCCTATGAAAGTAAGACTGGGCAGGCGATGCAAAATACCCCCAATTTAAAAGGGGCACCATTGGTACACTAAGAGAAAATACCATAAGTATTCGGGGCCCAAGACAGTTCAACAGCCTCCCATCAAGCATTAGGGGAATTACCAATAAACCCCTGGCTGCCTTCAAGAGAGAGCTGGACAGATACCTAAAGTCAGTGCTGGATAAGCCGGGCTGTGGCTCGTACGTTGGACTGCGTGCGGCCAGCAGTAACAGCCTAGTTGATCAGGCCCTGATCCACCGGGAGGCCTGATCATGGACCGGGCCGCAGGGGCGTTGATCCCCGGAATAACCTCCAGGTAACCTCCAGGTATCCAGGTAACCTCCAGGTATCCAGGTAACCTCCAGGTAACCTCCAGGTATCCAGGTAACCTCCAGGTATCCAGGTAACCTCCAGGTAACATCCAGGTAACCAGGTAACCAGGTAACCTCCAGGTATCCAGGTAACCTCCAGATATCCAGGTAACCTCCAGGTATCCAGGTAACCTCCAGTATCCAGGTAACCTCCAGGTAACCAGGTAACCTCCAGGTATCCAGGTAACCTCCAGGTATCCAGGTAACCTCCAGGTATCCAGGTAACCTCCAGGTATCCAGGTAACCTCCAGGTATCCAGGTAACCTCCAGGTAACCAGGTAACCTCCAAGTATCCAGGTAACCTCCAGGTATCCAGGTAACCTCCAGGTAACCTCCAGGTATCCAGGTAGCCTCCAGGTATCCAGGTAACCTCCAGGTATCCAGGTAACCTCCAGGTATCCAGGTATCCAGGTAACCTCCAGGTATCCAGGTAACCTCCAGGTAACCAGGTAACCTCCAGGTATCCAGGTAACATCCAGGTAACCTCCAGGTAACCAGGTAACCTCCAGGTATCCAGGTAACCTCCAGATATCCAGGTAACCTCCAGGTAACCAGGTAACCTCCAGGTATCCAGGTAACCTCCAGGTATCCAGGTAACCTCCAGGTATCCAGGTAACCTCCAGGTATCCAGGTAACCTCCAGGTATCCAGGTAACCTCCAGGTATCCAGGTAACCAGGTAACCTCCAGGTATCCAGGTAACCTCCAGGTATCCAGGTAACCTCCAGGTAACCTCCAGGTATCCAGGTAACCTCCAGGTATCCAGGTAACCTCCAGGTATCCAGGTAACCTCCAGGTATCCAGGTAACCTCCAGGTATCCAGGTAACCTCCAGGTATCCAGGTAACCTCCAGGTATCCAGGTAACCTCCAGGTATCCAGGTAACCTCCAGGTATCCAGGTAACCTCCAGGTAACCAGGTAACCAGGTATCCAGGTAACCTCCAGGTATCCAGGTAACCTCCAGGTATCCAGGTAACCTCCAGGTATCCAGGTAACCTCCAGGTATCCAGGTAACCTCCAGGTATCCAGGTAACCTTCAGAAAAAGATTAACATTTCTGGAGAACAAATGTTTTTTCCCTTGGAAAATCTAGACACTGTGAACGCTGGAAATTTTTGGGTTTTGGACAGTGAAGGGGCTAAATGATTGAAAAACAGCAATAGGAAGATTAAGATGTCACAATTTGAGTTATATGTACAATAAATGGAACAGTAGAAGTGATAAGAATTATTATGGCACATACATTGGACTACTATACATGCTTCTCTCTAAATCTCTATAGTGTCTGCTGTCTTACTGCATGTCTCTCTAGTCGCTTCTGTCTTGCTGTTATCAAACTCATTCTTTAGCTTCATTTGGCATGTGAATTCTCTTGCTGGTCAGACACAATGATTGTTGACAATAACAGCTTACTATGTCATCCAGAATGGAGCTCCTCACAGTAGCTTAAGCATACTGTACCCATATTCTCTTCCAGGGGTCCTGGCCAGGAACCTCCTCGAACTCTCCTCAGTACACTTGCATCTTCCTATTGTTCTTTCATATTCTAATCTGATGCAATCCCTCATTCATTGCTATAGCAACAAAAACATTGTAAGTTACCTCCTAACACCATTTGTGTTGGCAACAGTTATGTTCATCATGTATAAATAATATTTTTCCAATACTGATAATAAATTTTTTGATGCTGCAGGTGGTCATTTGGTATCCTGTTATGGGAAATTATGACACTAGGAGGTACACCTTATCCAGCAGTACCAGTTGAAAAACTTTTCCAATTGTTGCAAGAAGGATATAGAATGGAAAAACCTTCAAACTGTCCACTTAACATGTAATTATTTATCTGTTTATAGTGTACAAGGAGAGTAATTTTCTGGATGTAAATGATGCATTTGCATGCCTCTTTGTATATCTAATAGAAAATTAACTAACATAATTACAGTGTATGAGATGCATTATGTTTTCTGGTAAATTTCTCAAGACTTCAGCTGATTTACTTGAAATGTGAAAGAATTTGCATTTGTGTTGTGTGTCCTCCTTATTTAACTTCATTTAGTTTGCTTATCAAATGTCTTATTTGGCTCAAATTTTAAGGTTACTTTATACACTTACTGTACTCTTGACATAAGCAAATGTGAATAAGGTTAAAATACCTTAGTAGACAGTTCCTCAAGGTTCACAGCCCTTTTCCTATTTAAAAAAAAATGTTATATAGTAAAGAATATGGAAATGCAGTTCTCTGGCAGATGATGGCCCCATCAAATGTATTCCCATGCTTCTCTGATATAATACATTTAAACTCCTGTAAGGACTTGTGGAGAATTATGGCTTCCAAATAGCAGTGACTATTGTGTTAGAATAAACAATGGTATTGGAAAAACCAGGTGAGACATGTTGGAGTAACAGACTGAATAAAGTAGTCAGTCATATATAAAAAACTGCACTTTCATATCTGTTACCATCTTGACAAACATAAATTTTAAATTAGAAAAAGATGTTGTGGACATCATGTGCATATACAGTGGTCCCTCGAATTTCATTATCCCTTTTCTGTATGTAAAACTATAGTTATTTTTATAAAATGTATTTTTGTTAATATTTCCCATAAGATAATGTAAATCCAGTTAATCCATTCCAGACACTCAAAAATATTAACAAAAAATACATTTTATAGAGGACAACTATAGTTTTACATACAGAAAAGGTGTCCACAAAAACATTCCCTGATTTCAAACAGGTATAACATGTAACTTTATTGTAATAATCTTTGACGGTTAGTATCTTCAGATGCAGGATTTCAATCAGTTTCATGTGGTATAGGGTAGCATTAAAGGCACTCGATGTGCACCCCTCTGGTTGCTCGGCAAACATCGATGTGGTAGTCCAGGTCAGTCCAGACACTGCAGCATATCTGGCGTTATCGTGCAAACTGCCTCAGTGATCGAAATTTTCAGCTCCTCCAGGGTTGCAGGTAGTGGTGGTATGTAAACTGTGCTCTTCACGTACCTCCAAAGAAAGAAGTCGCAAACAAGTCCGGTGACCTCGCAGGCCACTTGCAGAGGTCAACGGACCTAACTGTTTGTGACTTCTTTCTTTGGGGGGTACATGAAGAGCAAAGTTTACATACTACCACTACCTGCAACCCTGGAGTAGCTGAAAATTTTGATCACTGAAGCAGTTTGCATGATAACACCAGATATACTGCAGTGTGTCTGGACCAAACTGGACTATCGCATTGATGTTTGCCGAGCAACCAGAGGGGCGCACACTGAGTGCTTTTAATGCTTCCCTATACCACATGAAACTGAATGAAATCTTGCACCTGAAGCTACTAACTGTGAAAGATTATTACAATAAACTTACATGTTATACCTGTTTGAAATTAGGGAACTTTTTTGTGGACACTGTATATTAACAGTAACACAAGAAGTCTCTGATTAACAGAAGGGTCGCATTTTTAAAATTAAAAATTTGTGAATTCTTGTAGCAAATTATATTTTCCCATAGATTTACAGTGGTACCTCGGTATACATCCTTAATCCGTTTGAGGACCTTGGATTTGTATCAAACAGGACGTATACCAAATGAATTTTCCCGTAAGAAATACATGAAAAACAATTAATCCGTTTCCATGAAAAAAAATCCTATTGTTATTGGTATATTATACATTGATGGGGTTGTATAAAATAATTTAAACACTGCTTTACACTAAAATATGAATTTAAAACTGTTTTAATACTAAAATACATAAAAATCAAAAGAATTAGATGAAAAAAATGCAAATTTAACCTCGTTTTAATTTGCTGCAAGAGTTGGTGCCTACTAAATAGTGCTGAAAAGGGGATGAGGGGGAATTTATGTTTGGAAGGAGATTTCCCCTTTTTGCCTCTTTTTTCTTTTTGGGACCTGGTTGAAAATCACCAGGTTTGACTTTGTTTATAATCTCCCCAAAAGATCTTTGTTGTGTCAGCTGAGGCGCGGCGGGGTGGCAGCAGGGCCCCTGCTGGTCCCTCACCGTCGGAACCACCCCATGCACATTTTCCATCCCAATGCAACCTGTCATGTCTTTTCCTGTCTTTTTCCTGTTGTACAGCCTGGGATGTACCTTGAGATGTACTCCTTTCCCCCTTGGAAAAAACATAGGGCCCACACTCCCGGAACGCATGTTTTGTCGATTACTGACATTTCCTGGAAAATTTGAATTCACTACACAAAGGAAACGGGTTTCAAGAGTTGTATTTCATATTCATATCACTTATCTCCAATGCTCACATCTGAGTCGGGGATTTAGGAAAATAGGATTTTTCCTTTTTGTTTCGGTACAACTGAACGTGAACAAGACGGCCCAGCAGCAGGGTGGAAGGCTGAGGGTTTTTTGGGGTTTTCCTCACCCCCGATATTAGGTCTTAGTTTCGGTCAAAACCTACCAAAACCCTTGAAATCATCTTCATGGCATTTCCCACTGTATTAGAACTGCCCCCGGGGAAAAAAAAGGTCCCAATTCACCAAGTGAGGGCTTCTTACCATGAGACAGGGGCGAACAACGCCTACTAAAATGGCATTCCCCAAAATGCGCCACTGGGTCCCAATTTTTTTTCTACCGTGCCACCGACCACCACACCCCATTCTCTAAAAACCTGGCCACCAGCCTTTTCTCGCGAGATTTGAAGGGCGCAGAAATTTTTCGTACTAGTACGTCAAGGGCCCCGGCGCGAAAGCCCCTACTAGTACAGCCAAAACCCCGAAAGGGGGGAAAACCCTCAAAACCCCCCTTTTAGCACTTTGGCCCCAAAATTTCTTCAAGCAGAGTTCATCGTTCTGTAGAAATTCCTGCCGGCTTTGTCAATGGAGTTATCTGGGTGGTAGTAAAGTTATCTTTTAAAACTCTTTCAGGATTAACTCTGTGTCAAGGGATTCAGAGCAGTGTCGTGACTCATTTTGACCCATAAAGTTCTAGCACATGATCAATTTCCAAACAAAGGTTTTATCAGCAAAATTTTCGCATCCAAAAGGGCATTTTTTCAAGTTGGGTTATTCCAAAACGGACGTATACCGAGGACCCCTGTACAAAAAAAAAAAAAAAAATTTTAGGGAAAATTTTGGGTTTTAAAAAAAAAGATTAAAAGCAAAAAAATAAGCAACGTATAAAATTTAAATTTTATAGGTTGAGCACTTACAAAAACATGAGAGAAACCTGATAGCAAGGTTTGGTGCCAAAAAAATTTTTGGCACTGAAGGTGATTAGAGTATTTTTCCCATCGAGGGGGGCAGCAGCTTTTTACAAAATACAGTTCAAATCAGATCAGTAATATTGTATAGTATCTAGGCAAAATAAAGAAGTAAATCGCTTGTAACTATTAAGTCTTAAACGGTCCAAATAGATCCATGTTCAAATCTGTAGTGCTCCAAAAATAGATCTATTTTTTTTTTACACATTTTCAAATGTAAAAAAAAAAAAGACGATGTACATTTTTTTACATACTTTCAAATGTTGAAAAAACGTATATATACGTTTGGACCATTTAAGGGTTAATGACGGGTTCTGACTTGTTTTTAAATAAATGCAAGAGACAAAACTGACAACGTGATGTGACTGCTGTACTTGACTGATCACCACATATATACTACCATTTTATGATTTTTTTCCCTAGAGTAACTTTAAAGTAAATAATTGTTATAGAAGCACTGGAAAAGCAGGGCCTGTCAGTATAATATATACATACTGTGAAATTAATGTTATTACATTAGCTGTCATATACAGTGTGTGTATGTTTGCTGATGCACAACAATATTAACTTTTTAATCTATATCATGTTTATTGTCTTCCCATATTTTTTTAAATATAATTTTCAGGTTTTTACCTGGAGTTTACCTGGAGACAGTTCCGGGGGTCAACGCCCCCGCGGCCCGGTCTGTGACCAGGCCTCCTGGTGGATCAGAGCCTGATCAACCAGGCTGTTGCTGCTGGCTACACGCAAACCAACGTACGAGCCACAGCCCGGCTGATCAGGAACTGACTTTAGGTGCTTGTCCAGTGCCAGCTTGAAGACTGCCAGGGGTCTGTTGGTAATCCCCCTTATGTGTGATGGGAGGCAGTTGAACAGTCTCGGGCCCCTGACACTTATTGTATGGTCTCTTAACGTGCTAGTGACACCCCTGCTTTTCATTGGGGGGATGGTGCATCGTCTGCCAAGTCTTTTGCTTTCGTAGCGAGTGATTTTCGTGTGCAAGTTCGGTACTAGTCCCTCTAGGATTTTCCAGGTGTATATAATCATGTATCTCTCCCTCCTGCGTTCCAGGAATACAGGTTTAGGAACCTCAAGCGCTCCCAATAATTGAGGTGTTTTATCTCCGTTATGCGCGCCGTGAAAGTTCTCTGTACATTTTCTAGGTCGGCAATTTCACCTGCCTTGAAAGGTGCTGTTAGAGTGCAGCAATATTCCAGCCTAGATAGAACAAGTGACCTGAAGAGTGTCATCATGGGCTTGGCCTCCCTAGTTTTGTAGAATTTTTTAAATTAATATTTATAATACACTAATAATAAGTTTGAAGAGGATTGAATTTGGTCGAACGTGTTATTTCTTCTGATATGTTAACATTATTCATGAGCTAGTCACTTGATGTAAGTTCTCTACTTTTTTCTAGCTACTTGATCATGCAAGAATGTTGGCGATGTCAGCCTTTACAACGACCAACTTTCAAAAAGCTTGTCGAGGACCTCGACTGCATTCTCACATTGTCCTCAACTGTTGTAAGTTTTTAGCCAGCTATGTTTTATGGAATGTATTTGAAGTGTGGAGTTATTAAAAGTATTATTCAGAGGGCTGAGGAGGGGTTGTTGAAGTGGTTTGGTTATTTAGAGAGGATGGAGCAAAATGAGATGACTTTGAGGGTGTATAAATCTGTAGTGGAGGGAAGGAGGGGTAGGGGTCGTGCTAGGAAAGGATGGAGGGGGTAAAAGAGCTTTTGTGTGCAAGGGGTTTGGACATGCAGCAAGCATGTGTGAGCATGTTATATAGGAGTGAGTGGAGATAAATAGTTTTTGGGACATGAGCTGTTGGAGTGTAAGCAGGGTAATATTTTGTGAAGGGATTCAGGGAAACTGGTTAGCTGGCCTCAAGTCCTGGAGGTGGAAGTACAATGCCTGCACTTTAACCCTTTGACTGTTTCAGTCATATATATACGTCTTACGAGCCACCGTTTTTGACTTACGTATACTCATAAATTCTAGTGGCTTCAAATCAAGCAGGAGGAGCTGGTAGGCCCACATGTGAGAGAATGGGTCTGTGTGCACCATATAAAAAAAACCCTGCAGCATGCAGTGCAAAATGAGAAAAAAAATCCAACCATTTTTTTTAATTAAAATGCCGACTTTGTGGTCTATTTTCGTATAGTATTTATGAGTGTATTCTCGTTTTCTTGGTCTCGGTTGATAAAATGGAAAACATATTATAGAAATAGATGTGATTTTGATTGGTTTTGCTATGAAAATAACCTTGAAATGGAGCTCAAAGTAGGGGAAGTGTTTGATTTTTGCTGATGTTCAAAAGTAAACAAATGATGTCATTTTCCAATAAATGTCCAAGTAGCCATTCTAATATGCAGTCATGAATGGGTTGACACTATTTATACAATTATTACAATATTGCAGTAGTCTGCATAACAGTAAATCTTCTATTTTTTGTTTGAATAAAAATTCAAAATAGAAACTTAGAGTAATATCATAGGGGCCTCGACCCTATTTTGAAATTGTCATATTTTTTAATTTTCATGAAATTTGAAATTGGCCAAATTGCAAATTTCTGACCACGTTATTGGATAGTTGAAATCGGTAAATGGGCAGTGTCTCATACTCAATCGATAGAAAAATGGAGTTCTAAAGAAAAAGCTATGAGTTTGGTCGACTGGAACGATGGAATTAGCCGAAAATAGGGCTCAAACTGGGCGAAATTGCCGATTCGTAAATATTGCTGAGGTCGCTAACTTCGCGAGAGCGTAATTCCGCCAGTTTTCCATCAAATTTTGTTCTTTTGGCGTCATTACAATCGGGAAAAGATTCTGTATCATTTCATAAGAATTTTTTTTTTTTTTTTTTAGAAACTTTGCGACACCAGGAGACACCTGAGGATTTGGGGTTGTGACAGTCAAGGGGTTAAAGGAGAGGTTTTGGATATTTGCTGTTTGGAGTGACATCTGAACTGTTGTATCTGCATGCCTCTGCAAAGACAGTGATTGTGTGTGAATGATGGTGGAAGTGTTTTTTTTTGGGGGTCACCCTGCCTTGGTGGGAGATGGCTAGCGTGTTGAGGATACAAAAAAATATTTACAGAATTCACAAGAATAAATACACAGCGAGTGTAAAACAAAAGCTTGTAATTGTTTTACATGATGGTAGGATTGCTGGTGTCATTTGTCTCTCATAAACATGCAAGATTTCAGGTACATCTTGCTACTTCTACTTACACTTAGGTCACACTACACATACATGTACAAGCATATATATACATACATACCCCTTTGGGTTTTTTTTTTATTTTCTTTCTAGTTCTTATTTATTTCCTCTTATTTCCATGGGGAAATGGAACAGAATTCTTCCTCCGTAAGCCATGCGTGTCGTAAGAGACGACTAAAGTGCCGGGAGCAATGGGCTAGTAACCCCTTCTCCTGTATATATTACTAAATTTAAAAGGAGAAACTTTTGTTTTTCCTTTTGCGCCACCCCACCTCAGTGGGATACGGCTGGTGCGTTGAAAGAAAATACACAGATGTATATTTCCCTATTGAACTCTTATACTGTTACACCTCCATCCCCTCCCATCACCACTACTAAATTGAAAATCTTTGTCCACATTTTTAAAAACAAAATTCTTTAAAAAATAGTCCAAAACAAATACTGTATGTATTTCAACCACTAAAGCAACTTTCCCAAGGCCTTTCCATTTTTGAATCCATGGTCATGCACAAAATTGACATTTTTTCCCAATTTTTGGCTAATAAACCATAACCAACAATTGAAGCCAATCTAATAAAAAATAAAGATGGGGTGGGGAGGGGGCCAGGAAAAAATAATCTGTATTAGCCATTTCTTGCCTATTTCACACTTACAAATCTTGTGTAATTTACTAGCATGTCTGTTGGCACCAAGAAACAGCCATGAAAACCACCTTAGAAAATGCCCTTAATTTTCTGTTTTAACCCAAATGCAGGGTCAGAGGTTAGCCATTCATATGCTCTACATGGGGCAGGAATCTTATTGAGAGGCCTGGTTACAGACTGGGCTGCGGGTACGTTGACCCCCGAATCCCTCGCCAGGTATACTGCACTCGCCCCACCCTATAGACCCATTCTATAACACATTCCCTTAAAGGGGGCCAAAATTTGGGCCCATTTGTCGGGCATAATGTTGAAGGTGCTATAAACAATACTTATTAGTACATCATGACTCTGCTATTATGTACTGGTACATAAAGATAAAGTACACTACAGTTAGATCAAGTGGTGAAGGTGCTATAAACAATACTTATTAGTACATCATGGACTCTGCTATTATGTACTGGTCCATAGAAGATAAAGTACACTACAGTTAGATCAAGTGGTGAAGGTGCTATAAACAATACTTATTAGTACATCATGGACTCTGCTATTATGTACTGGTACATAGAAGATAAAGTACACTACAGTTAGATCAAGTGGTGAAGGTGCTATAAACAATACTTATTAGTACATCATGGACTCTGCTATTATGTACTGGTCCATAGAAGATAAAGTACACTACAGTTAGATCAAGTGGTGAAGGTGCTATAAACAATACTTATTAGTACATGATGGACTCTGCTATTATGTACTGGTACATAGAAGATAAAGTACACTACAGTTAGATCAAGTGCTAAACCTGTGGAGAAAATAATTTTATCCATGTAAGCAAGGAAGGGAATATATCAGAGTGCAGTGGACCCTCGAATTTAGTAGTGCCTTTTCTGTATGCAAAATAGTTTTGCATACAGAAAAGACACTACTAAATTCGAGGGTCCATTGTACATGTATAATGGTACCAGTACTGATGTATGGGTGTAAAACATTAGCTTGAAACTTATGAGGAGGCAGTGAAGTCGTGTTTAAGGGCAATGTGTGGTGTGAATATGATTCATAGAATTTAGAACATGAAGAAAAGTGGGTATGGGATAACAAAAGTATAATTCAAGAGGGATGAGTAGGGATTCTTGAGTATGGACTAAAATGGGATGACTAGGAGAATATATAAATATGGGGTAGAGGGTAGGATTCATCCCAAGAAGGAATGAAGAGAAGAGGTAAAGGGGATTTTATGTGCTAGAGACTTTAAACATCTCAACAGGCTTGTGTGAGCACTTTAGACTGGAGGCAAGTGGTTTTTTATGAAGGGATTGAGGGAATTCATTAGCTGATATCAAGTCCTGGAGATGGGAAGCATTCTAAAAGAGGGAGTGAAGATGTTGCAGTTCAGAGGCCCATCTACACTGTGATGTCAGCACACTTGCTAAACAGTGCTTGAATAAGAATGAATGTGTTTTCTCTATTTTTGGTTCACCCTACCTTGGGCAAAGGCTGGTATGTTAAAAAAAAAAAAAAAAGTTTCTTATATTACATTACAGTATTTTGAGAATTATTGCTGTTTGTGAGAAAGTAAAAGGGGACACCGATCTTCCAGTGTTGGCTATGTTTTTGCATGCACTTATTTATTTATCTACTTATTTTATGCCAGTCCCACGTTACTCTAATAATTATTATTTTTTTTTTTCCTGTTTTTCTGTTTTACACTTGTAGTCATTTTGAATGTCTGAAGGATTGCTAGATTATTTTATTCAAGGATTCTAATGATTAGTTTCCATGTGTGTACATTTCTTTAGCAGGTGTAACATCACATTTTTAGCTTTAATTTCAAGATGTAGAAATAGCAAGTTATCAAAAGTTTTTCACTTAATTTTATCTACAAATTCTGGGACATTTGTTCAACAAATACAGTGGACCCTCGGCTAACGAACGCATCGCATAACGTTAAATCCACCTAACGAAGCATTCGAGCATAAAAATTTTGGCCTGGCTAACGATAAAAAACTTGCAAAACGTGATTCATCCCGAACCTGTCCGTCCAGCCTGAGCACCTCGGCTGCCCTGTCGTCATTGTTTACAAGCCAGGGAGGCCAGTTTCATACATACATTCGATACATTTTGTATTATTACATTGTTTGTAGTGCTTGTAACTGCTAAATAAGCCACCATGGGCCCAAAGATAGCTTCTAGTGCCAACCCTGTGGTAAAAAGGGTGAGAAATACTATCAAAATACTATTGTACCACGGTCAGCTGCTGCTGCACCACCGTCGGCTGTACTACTCGAAGATGTGGAGAGACTGTTGTTGGTGTGGCTTAACGAGAACAATCCCAAAGGGTTAGCCACCCAGGATAACCCAAGAAAGTCGGCAAGTCATCAAGGACTGTCTAACTTATTTCCATTGGCGTCCTTAATCTTGTCCCCCAGGATGCGACCCACACCAGTCGACTAACACCCAGGTGAACAGGACAAAATGCCTGGAACTAGTGCTCATATTGGTGAATTAAGGCCAGCAAAGGATGGTTTAAGAGATTTAAGAATCGTAGTGGCATACACAGTGTGATAAGGCATGGTGAAGCTGAAAAATTCCAACCCCAACAAGTGTTCAGTTGTGATGAAACAGGCCTGTTCTGGAAGAAAATGCCAAACAGGACCTACATTA